TAAAAGTGGACAGAGAATGTTGACATTTGGTTCTAGAAGATGAAAAACGTTCGATAAAGATGCTAGACAGCGAAAAACTTTCAACGAAATACGGATTCGAAAAGCTTTGGGAGCTTGACAGCAAGAGCAGTTGGTTATTTTGACGTTTTTCTAGAATACATTTCTAAAGTATTAGGTATTAATTCCTTCGGATATTGATCACGTACCTTTATTGTCATGACATTAAATACGTCTTACTCTAAAAGCCTTAATATCTATCAAACTTTGCATGAAGGTGCTTAATGATTCTACTTTATTTTTCTCTACTTAACTGTCTCACAGGCTCTTCTTTCTTTTTTTTCACTGTGCGAATTTCAGTACTTCTAGCATTCAATTCGTTCCTCGTCTTCTTCTTCGCCGCAGAATACTGGTTGAGTACGTCTCCTTGCAATCTCGAGGATAGTCTAGCTGCGGCAGGGCATTCGTTGTTGGCTGCCAGAGAGTGTTGGGGGGTGGGGATCAGCCTGATGCCGCACCGCTACGAGCATCACAACCATTCGGCCATGCCCGCCCCGCTCCCCCCCCCCCCTCTTCCCCTCCCACTTTCCCTGTTAATGAATAGTCATAGAAAGAACTTACGACGTAAATAACTAGTTACATTCTAAGTAGGATAGTTCTTTTAAGCGAAACAAGCAGTGTCGACACGCAAACTTTAAAATATGGTCGTCAAGCAGTTTCGCTTTCAATCTGCGGATCTGATCGACGATACGATGATGTCATGGGCCATATGGTGACATTCAATAGTTAACAAATCCTCAACACCTCCACTGACCCGAATACCTAGCAAAATCTTTGAGGTTGTACTAAAGTCAGCACATCAAGTTGCAGTAAGGTAAAGTGGGTCATCAACGCAGTTACCCTTTTTTCTCAGATGCATGATTTTCTGAGCTTTGCAAAACATAATGTGAGGACTGAGATTTTTGGTGGCTCTTCATCTACTTCAGTTTTACACACGCGAATTATTGTAAATCACTAACGCGGGAAGATCTTGTATTAACGATATTTAGTGAGTGCAGTGCCTAGAAAACGCAAAATAAATTAAGCTGTAATTTCAATTGTAAAAGAGAAGCTTCACCAACTGGTCCTTCTTGTCATATGATGGTTAGATAACTTTTAGGTTAAAAAGCGTATTTGAATTTTGAGCCTTTTGGATTGGCCATCACACAAGTGTCACACACTACCGAAATGATGCACGAAAAAAAGTCAAAAAACAAATACTATAGAAGGAACTGTACGAAGACTCGAAGAGGGACCATCGGAATGACAATGTGATCTCGAGCGTTTGGTGTTTCGCATCAAACATCTTGTTTCCAATCTTTAAACTACCTGTAATGCAAGACTGATTAGAAAATTCATCGAAGCGGAGTGAGCTCCATTGTACCGGGATATAAGGATAAAGTGTTCGACGTTGGCTATCAATTACCTTCCAACGGTTCTATAACTCAACAACTAAGGCTTCGGCAGACAGAATCAACATTTTAATGGAGTTTTTTGAGTGCATGAGAAAGAAGTTCTCGAAGAAGTGAAATTGGAAAATGTGCAGTATAACGTTGAAAAACGCGAGAAAAAGTCAATAATAAAAACAATGGTGCAGTTTTTATTTTATCAATCCAAAGTGGCAAAGTCTTAGCTGCATAGTTTTTCTGAAATAAAAAACTGTATTTGGTTGGGGTTTAGGGACCGATGATTTAAAAGAAAGCTGTAAAATAGCACGGGCAGATAATCTTATGCACACGAATAGCTCTGCCCACCACGGTCGTTCGTGCTAGTACTCGTTTTTTTTTCTCATTCTCCCAAGTGAAGGTCAATTAATTGGCAAGAAGGAAACCATGGCATTCTAGCTCCTTCTCTTTTCTAGAAGCAATCTAATCAAAGAGGAAACACATGGATGAAAAATTACATGGCTAATTTCTGTTATATAACTTTAGAATCCATTCCAGACACTCAAAGTGGATGAAAACTTGCAAGTTTCAAATCGTCATCGCCTGGTGTCATTTCCTCCTAGTCGTACCTAATATTGATTTAGTAGTGGTTTTAGTCGGGATTCTACTTTGATAAATTTTTTCAAACATGTGTAACAGATCGATAATAAATGGAGAGTTATCACCGTTCTATACTGTAAATCGTTACAAAAAACCTTATCACTGACCTGAAAATAATGTAATCGTCAAAAGCACAGCGCAGGTAATATGGCATGCGAAATGACTCACTATATTCATGTGCTAATCGGATTTAATCTATACAAGTTGAGGTAGGATGGCGAAAAAAAAACTAGACGAATACGCAGGCGTTTGAAACTGTGTAGGCAAGTGAAAATCTCTGACTATTGACAAGAATTTTTTTTTCGACGCTAATCAATATAGTCAATTTTAGTGCCGATTACGGTGGCGGAAAGTTGTGGCCCGTCCATTTCTTAGGCCCATGCCTAAACCCTAAGCATTCTCTCGTAATCTCTTGTTTGAAGGAATCAAGTGAAAGAAGTACTCTGAAAATTGATCACAACTTTTTGCAAGGGCAGTATCGATTTAAAGATTAAAGGAGAACATGTTAGCGACTACTTACGTGTTTATGTTTTGTTTACTTGGAACTGAGATAAGAAAGTCTGAACTCACTGAGCAAAAATGATTGCATCCTTTGATCCCTTCGAGACAAAGTGTACCGAAAATAATACACTGATCTTTTCGTTTTGGGACAGCTTTTCATCAGGCTTTTATTATTTATTCGACGGCTCAAAGATTCGATTCTAACACTGAGCTTGGTTTCTTATAAGGAATTCTTGGCATATTATAGCAAAGAAGAGAGAATTACGTCTTGCCTCCAAAGTGTGTAAGATGTTATACACTAGCGTTTACTTGGCTTCTTCTATGGACAGGAATTTGGTAGAGTTTTTGTTAACGTTCGAGAGCTTGAGAAACAGTTACTCTATCAGTGATCATGATTTCTGAATAAGACCTTTTAATCGCGCTGTGACAACGTCGAAGGATAAATCTAGGTGTTACCCTTGGCGTACATCAGTTATAAGGCTGGCGTCGCTTGGCTTTTTGCCCGAATTTCCACAATAATCTAATGACCAATTGATAGGAGAAATTTTGAAGATTCTGAATCTTGATTTTGATTTTGAAACAGTCTTCACAGAGTATTGTTAGAGAGGAAAAGAACTACATATGCATTGAGTAGTTAGCCCATTATTTGAAATTCATAGGGGGTTTATCTGGTAACATCAAGTGAAAATTTAAGCTAATATCTGTTAAACGATACAACAAAGTCTTTTTTACAAGCACGTTAACCTTAGGAATTTCCCTCGATTCGGATAGAAGATTTCGAGACAAGTATTGGAAATCGTGCTTTTTTGAGGGTGCAGTTGAAATCACTGCGCTTTGCGTCATTTGAAATAGCGCGATTTTAATTATTTATTTGAAAATTTTTCTTCTGTTTTGAGAGAACCCTTCAGAAGTACTTTGACATCCTGATACAACGCAAGTGCCTCTACACTCTCATACGCCTTGCACAAGAATCTTGTGGAGAAGAAAGCTTTGAGGGTGAATTATAAGTTTTTTTTGCTCCTGCCTTCTGGAAACTTTTTTAGAATATCATTTAGTTCAGTATATATGTTTAATTATAGAATCACCAAGATATATGCTACCAAAGGTCACTGAATTTTCAAGGAAGGCTATTCAAACATCGAAGTGGAGACAACAGCACAAACCAAGTGTGTAACAAGATCTTATTTTCGCTCTGCAGCGTACAAGCTTTTCCGATGGGCAAGTAAAGCAATTAAATCACCGAAATTTGAGCTATCGAGTAATACTGAAAGTCTAGGTGAAAGCTTTCCCTAGCGGAGAAGATTAACTCGCAAAAGGGTTAAATGAACATTAAAATCAAAGAATGCGGAGCTGCACTGAAATTACAAAGCTTCATACAATTTCATCTCTATCATAATATAAGGATGCGAAATCGTCCAATGTGTTAGTTGTGGGACAGGAGGTCATAAATAATTAGAAACACATAACTTATGCAAGAAATATGTCCTTTAGTAAGACTTGGAAAAACACAAGGCAACTGAACTCTCCGATGAGATTGATAAGATAAGAGTGTTTACGTGAGTAACCGGAGCGCAACAACGCCTGTATCTCAGTAAATTTTCGGAATAGTCCACTATTTGAGCACAGTCTATGGGGAAACAAACAAAAATCTTGGAAGGATAAAGAAACAAAGGGAGATTAAGACTAAAAAAAAATCGCGAAAAATCAGATAGTTCTCAAAAAAGACCTGCTGGCGCTAAGATTGACGAAATCTCATGGTCGGGCACCAGCACCATGAAACTTGAAGAACTACTTTGTCAGCTATTTAGAAAGATAATGCTTTAGCAGTGCTAATTAGTGATAAATGTTAATTTAATCGCTGATTCTTAACGTACTTTTCTCAGAGTAATCTTTATAGAGCCATGAAATGTTCTTATTTTTCGTCTTTCTTGAGTATTCTCTTTCCCGGATAATCAGAACATGTAGTCATAAACAGATCAGAAAAAGATTTGTAACATCGGTAACAATTTGAATGAACTGTTGATTTAGGCATATATTTTTCCTCTCTACCTATCTCTCTCCCCTCTCTCTCCTTCTCTCTCTCCCTCTTTCTCCTTTCTTTCTCCTTTTTTTTCTTCCTCTCTCTTACTCCTTTGCTTCCTGATTTCCTGGATGAATAAATTCTTCAAACTCTTAACAAACCTATCTAGGACAACATCCCATGATGTTCGACCACACCCTGGGCCCGTTTTATGAACACAGTGAAAAAAGCTACATTCACGTCTTATTTTTCTCACTCATATGCGCTTCAACATTTACAGCACATACCTAAGAGTGGTGAGCAAAAGCTCGATCTCAAATGGGAGACGAACCGCGTTTTATCGGACGCGTGCTATCACTATCATAGAGATACTGAAGAATGAGGGATGACCCGAATCCACCTCGGTGATGCAGTGGCAGCACACGTCCCTCGTATGGATAAAACGCGGGTTCGACTCCCGTTTGAGGTCGGACATTTGCTCACCACTCAATTTTCTTTTATATATATAATATATATATTATATATATATATATGAAAGAACATAACACTGGGACAAAAGTAGTAAAAATATGAGATACTCAAAGTATACTTCAACATGAAGTGATTCCTGCATTCTCAGCTTAGAAATATTTCAGATACTTCATTATATCATGTTATATTCATAGTTAAGCAAGAGGAGAGCAAAGTTGAATCCATTTTCAAATCAAATCCAACTAGAATAACTGTATAGCTCCACAAGTGTAGTAGTTTACTTACTTACAAAAATCATCATCCGACAAACAGCCAGAATGTATGCCATCCTGTGAGTCGCTAATCGTACGGCTTCGCCTTGAACGAAAAAATACTCTTAGTTGTTGAACATTCATACAAATGTTAGGTTTGAAGGATAAATTGGTCTGTAATGATGTATTCCCTGGAAAATACGCCATGTATTCGACCACTGAAAGTCGTAACGGCGATTGAAATGCAAATTTGGCATACTAGTGACTTCTGGGTTCATTAGACGTTCCGCTATAGTCTTGTAAAATAGCCGGTTGTGACTTGATATCTATAAGAGACTATTTTTCCTCCATAGATTTCTTCTGAGTCTTCATTCAATGCCTTGAGATATCGTTTCAGTCACAGCCTAGATGTAGAGACACAAACTCATAAGCTCTGCTCTCACATGTTATGTAATACAGCTTTTTTCTTAGTGTAGTTGGTTAGGTTTCATCAGACCGTGCGTGCTTCTTCAAGACTATTTCAAGATCAACATTGCCTAGAGATATTATCCAGTCGGCCACTTGATGACGTACCACATGGTCTGGTGTATGACTGATCTCGTGTTCCCTCTTCACATACGACAAGTTCGTGAACAAAATATCTCAAAGAAGTTTTCGGATGTTATTGACAAGTCAAGAAAAAGAACTAGAACATCAAATGCTTCAACTTTTGTTTACTATTTATCGCTCTTTCAAAACAGTGGTCAGAGGTGACCAGCGATCACACGTAGTCAATAGTTCGATCCCGTGCATATAGCTCGCCTATCTTTATCCCTCTGGTGTCGGCGAAGTGGTACCAGGTGTGTCAGTGAGGAAAGCGGCAGCAAACTGTTGCATCGGTGGTTTGAGACGAGCCAGCCAAAGTCAGATTTGCATTAAATTACCTTCAACGTTCTAAGAAAGGCAAATGTATAGCGCATCTCTCAGAGATTAGTCAACGCCGAGAGCCTAATTGAGTTTTTACTTTTTCGTTGGAGTGTTCGATTCTGATCATAAACAGGATACTGAGATGTAGACCTGTCTCAGAACATTCGGTGAACTTCAAATCCACGATCATCATTTCCAGAATATTATAGGCTATCCATTACGCTCACCATAACCCTTGCTTCATCTTCTACATAGGTATTTTCCAGCTCTATTGGCGTCACCTGTTTTATAAGATCTCGCTTAAAACTGATACATCCTAACATCATATTTGAGCCTCTCATGACATCTGTTATAGCACTTATAAAGTGTCAGACACGTAATGCAAACTTTCAGCCTCGTCAGTAGCACGGTGTCTTTCGTTCGAGCCTATCACTTGTGGGGGGTTTACTCTCAACATGAAAAGGAGTCGAAGGCGAACAACTTACACTGGGCGTATGTCAAGTGAAAAATCACCCAACATGACAATGATTTACAGTCCATTGCTCATAACTGGTAAAATTAATAATCTTTATATCCGAGTGATTTTAAGACCTCGCTAGAGATTGATACATCCTGTGTTTCACCTGCCGAAAGACACCATGCTACTGATGAGGTTGAAAGGCTGAAACACGTGTCTAGCACTTATGAGTACCATAAGAGACCTCATAAGAGACTTGAAATATGCTGCCAGGATCTAACGATGTTATTTGCTCAGTACCGATGTGTGCCCCTCAGACTCTGTGAGCAATGACTGCTGATGGCACCGTCAGGGTCAAAACATGGCCATGAGAAAGGGAAAGCAAGTTTTTTTCGTGTGCGTAGTGGATAGCATGGCGAGGGCAAGAAAAATCCTTTTGAGATTCTTATTTGGTGGTACCTTACTGCCCTCGAACATGAAACATTATAATATAGGTGACACGCCTTCCATTCAATGTCTTTCGCTAGTTTAAACATTCCGTCCTTCACCTTTGATGATCATCTTTTGTCATCTTCATCTTTCACAGCTTGTAAAGAGGTGCAAGTTCACAAAAAAAATTGGAAAAACTCCCAAACTAACCATTTTTTCATCTTATAGAACAACTTTACTAAAGAGGTTGGTGACTTGTCTTTCGATAACCGAGTGGTAGATGTGTCAGAGTCCTGGAAAATGAGATTCTAAAGCTCTTGTATGAATTAGATGCTTCCAAGTAACTGTAATGGCCAGATTTACATTCAACCACGGCCAAAAGCCTGCAATCAAGCGGCTGGGAAGTACACGGGAGGCGGTTAGGAGTCGCCTCCACAAATAACCTTCTCCCGCTCCTCCGAGAGAGACTGGCATGCTACTCGTGAGTACCCAGCCCCCACGTTTAGAGCCTGGCAAGCTACACGTTGGGTATCAAAATGCCAAAAAACAGTAACAAATATGGGCCTCATTCCCCTGACCCCGAAAGAGCCCCTGGTAAGGCAGCGCCAGGTAGGACGAGTACGGAGAGGCTGCTAAAATCTCAGGGCCGAACTAGGCTGCCAAGATCGAAACGGACTAAAATGACGATCTGTACCTAGAACGCAAGAACCCTTGCTCACGAATCCGCAGTAGAAGATCTATTGATTCAAGCAAGAAGAATAAGGTACGACGTCATTGGCCAGGCTGAGACGAGAAAGCGCCATCCTTCTCACGCTGTCTATGACACCGGAGAAGAACTGTTCCTTCGAACATGCGATCGCAGAGGTGTCGGTGGCGTTGGCGTCCTCGTCAAATGGAATTTGACTTTGAGCTTGATTCGTTCGAACGACTAACAACCCGTATCGGACGATTACGGTTGAAACGATGTGGTTCTATGCCGGCTTTGACCATCTTCGTTGCTTACGCACCAACATCAAGCTATGACGAAGACGAAGTCGAAGCGTTCTATATGGACCTCGAAAAATTCTTCAGAGAAGATCATACATTCTTCAAGGTCATTGTCGGAGATTTTAACGCAAAAATTGGACCTAGAAGAACGTCTGAAGAACGTCACATAGGGACCCACGGACTTGAATGGAATGAACAGAGTGAGAGGCTATCCGAGTTTATCATGACGACCCAAACCATCCATGGTAACTCGCAATTCCAAAAGCCTCTTTCTCAGCGATGGACGAGGGAGTCTCCTAATGGAGAGTATCATAACGAAATAGATCATCATCATAGTAAATCGAAGGTTTTGCCCGACCGACGTAGCTGTTGTTCCCAAGTTCTACACGGGATCAGACCATCGCCTCCTTCGCGCAACGTTCCGATTTTCGAGGAGAGGAGAGAAAGCCGCTAAATTCAAACAACGAAGTCCCAGAACTACCATAAGCTGGGATGTATTCAGATCATTAGTCGGCTCTTGGGAAGATACCGTTGTCGACAACATCGACGAAGAATACGATCGACTCGTTGAATATCTTCACGCTAGCGCTATAAAAGCCGAGAGTCCTATGGTCACGAAGAGACGCTTGTCTCCGCAAACACTCGAGCTGATACGTCAACGTGGAATCGCACGAGCTGCAGGCAACCGAAACCTTACGTCCGAACTTGCGAAACGATGCAGAGAAGCGATAAAAGAAGACCTTAAAGAGAGAAGAGCAGCAGTTATGGCAGAAGCTGCAGAAGCTGGGAAGAGCATTCGCAAAGCCCAGCGAGGCTTCGCCAACTATAAGACCAAGATGATTGTCACTCCGATACCCTGACGGGACACTTACAGCTTCGAGAAGGGCTATGGAGAAAATCATCCATCAATACTACTCGGATCTCTTCGCTAGCCATGTCCTCTTACCGTCATATAAATTGAAAGAGGACGACTATGTCGTTCCACCGGTCCTCCCTTCCGAAATCCGACATGCTATATCGTCGGTGGAAAACAGAACAGCACCCGGTCCAGACAGGATTAGACCAGAACACCTGAAGAACCTGCCGCCAGTTCTCATCAACACCCTGGCTCGGCTCTTCACTCGCTACCTGTCAGAATGCAAGGTCCCTATTCAATGGAGAACCTGCAAGACCGTATTGTTGTTCAAAAAGGGAGACCTTCACGACATAGGCAATTATCGCCCAATCTGCTTGCTGTCCGTTGTCTATAAACTCTTTACTCGAGTCATCCTGAACAGGATTGACAGAACACTGGACGAAGGACAGCCATGCGAACAAGCAGGGTTCAGAAAAGGATTTAGTACCATGGACCACATCCACACGATCACAAGACTCATTGAAGTTTCGCGAGAGTACAAACAACCACTCTGTCTCACTTTTATCGATCTGAAAAAAGCCTTTGATTCAGTGGAAACAGAAGCGGTTATAGAGGCTCTGGATAACCAGGGCGTCCCTACTCGGTACATAATGATCCTTCGTGAGCTTTATAAAGATTTCACGACCAGAATATCTCCATTCTACAACAATATCACCATTAACGTAAGAAGAGGGGTTCGACAAGGCGATACAATATCGCCAAAACTATTCACTGCCACCCTACAAAACGTCATGCGAACATTAGAATGGGACGAAATGGGAGTGAAAATTGACGGTCGACAATTAAACCATCTTCGCTTTGCTGACGATATCGTTCTCATAACACCAAACATCAGCCAAGCGGAACGAATGTTGACTGATTTCGACATCGCCTGTGGAAAGATCGGTCTTCAACTGAATCTAACGAAAACAATGTTCATGAGGAACGGATGGGTTTCTAAAGCCCCATTCACGCTCAACGGAACGACAATTTCCGAATGCTCCAGTTACATCTATCTAGGTCGTGAAATCAACATGATGAACGACCTAGCCCCAGAGTTGAGCAGGAGGAAA